GCACTACTTTGTGTGAAAGAGTTTTGTGAAGGGTCCTACATATCTAAACTTTTACTATTAGCATTAGATTAGGAGACACATTGTTATAAGTGTAGAATATGAATATAAACCAAAAGAAGGCAAAGAAATGCTGTGAGGATATTTTTGGTCTGCAAATTGGAATCGAAACCAAATATTCCGCTTATATATTCACTTCCATCCACTGCAATGTTTAGCTAGTGACACATGACTTGGCTATGCTGGGGCCAAGAATTCAGGGCTCCTGCACCAAAGGAGTAAATTCACAAACACCTCTGTACAAGGGAAGGCACCCAAACAGAAATCAACAGTTAACACACACTTGGTGCTAGACTTTAACACATTCTCAAGTCATTTCTAACTTTAAAAATGGATCTAAGTGTCCAGGTGCAGTGGTGGTAATCCTTCAAGTAAGTGTCAAGTCCCGGGGTCAGGACCACGCCTCAGAAGTGCCCTAAGTGTTGATGGAATTCAGAGCGCGCTGCAGGCGTGCCCATCTGAGGCTGGCGTCCCGGCTGGGAGGGGTGTGTCTGGCAGGGATGAGAACTTCCCTCCACCTTTCTCAGGCAGCAGACAGGTAGCTCAGACCCAGAGGGTCTGGAGATACAAGCAACTCCGGGAAGAGTGCCGGACAGCCGAGTGACTGGTTATAAATGTTTAAAACAGCTACACTTCTGGTCCATTTTCATAAACTGAACTAGAGCAGGAACCCAAAACGGCTCTGCTAGATTCTCTCCCATCACTGATGCCCCTGACTCTACGACATCTTCCTGCCCTTCTCTAGTCCCCCACTCCAACACAGAATAGCCCCATTATTCTTTCCAAGGACTCATTCGTTCGAGGCCATGGAGGCAGCTGCAGCAACACTAGGATTTTGCTGATGGCAAATATATCACATCTCATTATCAATGATGTTCTGTTTACTCCCCTCTGGAAAGTCACTAGCAAAACCAAATATTCTGAGCAGGTGCACATGAGGGAGGAGATGCACACCACAGAGAGGACTTGGAGCCCTACTCCTGCCTGACTGCCTCTGACACGTCCACCAGGCTTCTCAGTCTCTTTGTGTTGCAGAGAACACGCTGACCCAAGGCCAAGATGGTGCTTCCTCGTTCTTACCGACTCTGTGGGACATGGGGAGGACTCATGATTTAATGGGCAGACTTCACTGTGGAGGAGCCAGCCTCCGGGTTTGGGGGAGAACTGTTTTTTCCGGCCTGTACTGAACCAAGTTCAACACCAGAACACATCTTAAAGTGTCGGACCAGCTATAGCTTTTTCATCTGCAAGGATCCTTAATAGCTGGACGATATTCCATCATGTGGATATTTCTTAATTTAACTATCACCCATTTCTGAATTTAGCTTAGTTCCAATTTTTCCTTACTGTAATTATGCTCAAATGAACATGCTTATATATAAATCTCTGCCTGGAGTTTAGAATTTGTGTCTATTGCTTAATGTGAATTACATTTTTGAAACCATTATGTTGTAAATTCACTGAAGAAAGAATCTACCTCTGAGATATTTTTGTTTCCCCTATGGAGCTATATCTAAAACATAAGCTCCCAAAGTGTTTGCTGATTATTTTAAGATTGGCTTAGAGGAAGAAAAAGTTCAATGACCAAAACAATCCCGGCACCGAAAATTTTCTTGCCTATTCATTCATTCATCCATCCATCCATCCAAGCATTTTCATTGATCACCTACTATGCATCAATCGTTGTAAAGATACCGAGGATTAGAAGACATAAAAGACGCGCCCAAGCCTGTAAAAGCACTTGAAGTTTCTTCATCTGCGAAGAATTCTTTAAGCGACATGTTAAGGGATATATAAATAAGAAGCAATGCACAGCCGGCTTCCTGCATAGGACCAACTCCCAGCCCACCTTCTTTGCCCCAAGGGAAAAGATGCTCATCCAAGTGGGCAGAGCCCAGGACGTTCTCCAAGCAACGTGCTCCCGGTTGGAGCACTGCTGTGCCTTGCGAAACCCTGCTCCTCTTGTGCGCTTCCTCTGCTAGGCGCTCAGCTGTGCCTTTAGGCACCTGGCACACCTCTAGCTAGGACTCGAGGCTCCAGGTGTGACCGAGTATGCTGGCGTCGCCATTTACAGGTTGGGGACTGTGGAAGGTGAGGGTGGGTAGACAGTCCTATTCAGGACTCAAGACTAAAGCCAAGAAGTACCGTTTGACCTTTCACCCCAGTACTGCTTCGGGAGAGAGGCACTTGCGCAGGTCTTAACAAAAGAGTATTCTGATCCTCTTTTTGCTCTTGTTTCTTCTAAGTACAACTCCCCTCAGGAACTATTAGGGTAGGATTCCTCACCTTGGCACTGCTGTCGTTTGGGACAGGATAACTCTTTGCTGTGGGGCTGTCCTGTGCACTGGAGGATGCTTTAGCAGCACCCTTGGCCTCCGCCCACAAGATGCCAGCGGCGCCCTCCCACGAGCTGTGACAACCAAAACTGTTTCCAGACATGCCAGTGTCCCCTGTGGACAAAATGCCCCCACGCCCCCACGGATGACCAGTCCTCTAGGGAGGAAAGGAGGCTGAAAGCAGGCTCGGGCGTCCCTGCGTCCCTGGCCACATAGTCACCTTTAACAACAGGGCTCTTCCTCTGCTATGCAAAATTAACTTTTGTATACCTTTTGGTGATGAAGCAATGAGGCTATGCTAAGTCACATAAAAAGAAATTCAAAGCATTCAAGCTTTCTGTATACAGAGGAACATGGTGCAGGGTAAAGCAGGACCCTAAATTCCATGAGTACAGGGATATCTGTCCTAAGGTTGTGTCCTCAGAACCTATTGTACGTGTGTGTGTGTGTGTGTGTGTGTGTGTGTGTGTGTGTGTGTGTGTGTAACCACTTAACCAGCAAAACCACTGAATAGTAATAAAGAAGCTTACTTCCTCGAAGTTCAAAAATCTCCCCAATCAGCATGAAACATGGTTCAGCCAAAGAGTCTTTCCTTCCATCCACGTCATCACCACAATCTGACAGGTCACTGTCCTCCTCTGCCTCCTCCTGGGGGAACAGTAAAGTCACAGGAAGCAGCAGGCCACTCATCCAAGGAAGGTGACGCGTTCCCCTCCCAGGGTCAATTCCGAATGTGCACTTATAGTTCAACCTCACACAATCCTTCAACTTCCCTACATGCAGAAACCTATGCATTTTCACAAAGAGGCCAAAGTGTATCTAAACTCAGGGCATAGCTTGATCCTAAAGCCTCATTCAAGGTCTAAAATAATTCTGAAAAGCCTCTGTCACTGTATTAATGAGGAGTGAATTCGGAGATAACAAAACAGCTTTCTAACCATTTTGAGTTTTAAAAGGAAGGCTTTTTAACTTGAAATATTTTAAATTCACTGTTTTTTTAAAGACATGTATAATTTAAAGTAATTTAGTTATTTTTAAAGCTCTGATTCAAGCTTTTATTCTGTACTTCAGCTAGTCTCACTTCTTGATCTGCGTTATCAGCAAATTTCCGTTGAAAACTCATTTATGCCAGGCACCAGGCTAGTGCCAACGAGTGTGACGTGGATCCCGACTTTGAGAGGCCCTTAGCTCTGCGGGGAGGTGGCCAGCATGCACGTGGCTGCTTCTCCAAGCAGGGTGAAGAGCTGCAACAGGGGTGCAGACGTCAGGCAGTGGAAGGACAGCTGAGGAAGTTCACTCGGATGTGTGCGGGGGGCAGCTGAGGCTGCGGGAACAAGCAGCGGCCCAACGACAGGGCCTTGGGGGCGTGATGAGCAGAGCAGAGCAGAGGGCTGAGAAGTCAGCGGCCGGAGGGGCACCCCCAGCTTCACTGCACGTCCAGCAGCATCAGAGGCTGCAGGAGGCTGCCGGTCGGCCACTGGCCTTCCTCCTGCCGAGAGCAGTTTCCCGGAGTGACTGGGCCACAGGGTGAATCCCAAGAGGTGCAGGGATAAATGGGAGGTGACAGAGGGGAGGGGCCAAGTACGGCCAGACGTGACACGTGTGGCGTGCAGGAAAGAGGCGGGGAGGTGCCCAGGAGGGAGGGAGGCAGGCAGGCAGGCGGAACCCTGTGGTTCGTGGGCTCTGCTCCAGCTCAGGACGCGGCAAAGCAGATGCTCCTTTCCACGGTTACTTCCCTCTGTCCAAGCTCGTTAAACCAATTCTGGTGAAGAGGCGGTGGCGTCTGGCATTGAACTAAGGAGACGCCACATTTCGGAGATGGTCTCGTGCAGCTTGTTGGAGAGCCAAACGAGGGGCCGCAGGCCTCAGCCAAGTCAGGGGCCCCTGGAGGGAAGCCCGAGGGCCAGGCATGAGATGGCAAATGTCTGCAGCCTGTCTATTCACTCCTTCACTCACCCGCATCACTGCGAGGTGCATCGTGCTTCAGGACGTGACACGGCTTTCCATTCCCTCAGATAAAATCTAAACTCCTCAGCGCGGCGGCCTTGCCCCTCCTCCTACCCTCGGCCTCATTTCCTTCAGCGCACGCTCCCGAAGCCTCCCCTCGGCCCAAAGACCTGCTGACTGTTCCGCACACGCACCCTCTGCTCCTGAACCTCAACGTTAGCTCCAAGCCCTCTGCGGTGCCGGCCCCCGTCCTGGGCGCCGGCCAGGCCACCTTCCGCAGAGGGCCTCCCACAGAACCTCCATCCACATGCCACTCACCTACCTTGTTATCAACCCTGTCCCCAAATATGACAGCAATGGTGACTCAAGGTATTTGCTTCCTCCCCATCTGTAGCAGGCCTTCCACAAACACCTGCCACATCAAACAGCCTCCAGAAGACGTGTGCTTAAATATGCTTCAAAAACGTACAACCTTCAGACAGCTCACCTCCTGATGGGAGAAGAAGTCGCGAGGGAGTCTTTCCAGAAATGAGGATAATGAAAACGTGGACTTTTTCCCCTGCACGTCAATAACCTTGAGGTAGTCAGGAGAAGGGCTCAAAAAGGCATAAAGTGCTTCACTCTGACACAGTCTTTCATCTGAAAGCAGATTCTGTGGGAGAAAGAGGATTAATGCCTCCTGCGTGGTTCGTCTGTGAGCTGGGAGCCACGAGGAGTGAAGGCAGAGTTGACTGTCCCGGGAAATTTACTTTCATCGTAATTCTGAACCTAAAACCACTTCCCTTTCCTCCTGAAATAAAATATATTAGATGAGTTCTCACCGAGCTTGATGGCAAACTGCACTCTGTGGGTTAACTGGAGCGCCCTGCTTGTGCTCAGGGCGACGTGAAGTCTCACTGTGCAAACTGCCTGCGGGTCCGGGGGCTGCCGCCTTCAAAAGTCATGGGTGTTTTCCGCACACTACACAAGGATCCCACCCAACCCTTTCATGGCTACGTGCGTGCGGACTTTGTACATGAGCTGAAAAAAGAGCTTTGGGTTGTCACGTGGTGGTAACTGCCTGGCAGCCAGTAGTTTTCTGTCCCTGTGCTCCACCTTCCCCAGGCAGCGTATGTTTACATAATTTTATAACTGTTTTTATTGGCCCATAAACTGGAAATGTGCTCAAGTTCTCTGGCCTTAGGAGAAAGGAAAGGAGAACGTGCATCACGTTGACGTATGAAGCAAGTACTACTGATAAGACAGGAAAATTAACAATGTGACCACAAGAACGTGTAAATGTCTGGTGCTCACAGATACAGGGTTTAGGAATAAATGAACCAATGAGAAATCCTGCCCCATGGATGATGTAACTCCCTGGGGGGCTGGAACACTGGGGTTCTGATGGCAGAACCCTCTCTGCTGGGAGAACAGGCTACATTCTGGTCCCAGAGGAGTTGGTCCATGACGTTCACATTATGTTTGCTCAGACGAAGCTTGAAATCTGATAAACCCTGTGACCCTCCCTAGAAAAGCACCTCCGAGCAGCCCAATAGTGCCACACTGGGGACGGGGGTCCCGGGCACCCCCCCACCGCATTCCAGTGGTCGTCAGCTTCCTGTGTCCTGCGGAAGACTGGCCTGAAGATGGAGGTTCTGCCTCAGACGTGGGGAAGGAGATTTAGGGGACAGGGAGTTGGGGTCACTACTGCCTTCCCAGGCAGGCCCCCGAGCCTTTATTCCTTTTGTAGAGCATTAGATGCTCAGCTGCACGTGAGGGTGGGTTAGGAGTGAGACAGCCTCCCTCCACCTTGATTTCCTTTAGCTAATCTCCACTCCAGCACTCTTTTATCAAATAGTAGCAAATGATAACCAATGCTAAGTCTCAAATAATGCAATCAACGTAACTAAGGAAATCATTAAGGATGACAAGTCTTTGGACTAAGTTATATACTATCATGAGGGAAAGTAACCAAATTGAACATGTATGAGAACTTAGAAATGTTCTCAAAGATTATGTCTATGGGGCAAGGTGTAATTGGGATATTATCACATCTTCAAGCTGAGAATATAATCCTAATTCCCACTCCTTCCCCCCAAAGGCTTAGAGCACGTTGTCCTACACAGGTGGAGTCTCTAAGAGGACTAGTCAGTGTGAGATGAGGAGAGTAAAACATTCCAGGAAGAGCGAACAGCACGTGCACACCCAGAAGTGGGTGCCGCACTACTGCGGGGACGGCTAGAGTAAGCTGCCTGTGTGTGAGGGACGACTGGCTGGATTACTATCTATTATCACTATACCTCGAAGGGAACCATGTGTCATATATAAATACTCACACAAACACACACTCAATGGAATCCTCTTTTCTGGAAGGTCCTGTGGACCTAATAATATCTGCCTTTCAGACTATACCTTTTGCATCTTGCTTTTCCTGTCTGCAGCTGGTGGGATGATATTTTGAAACTTCAGTTTGCTGTGTAATCTACCTAAAGTTATTAAATAGTGAGCACTTTCACGTGAAGTCTTTGAGGAAATGAAAAGCAATTTAAACCATTACTTTCTGACTTACAATCCTCTTGATCAAAAGACAAATGGCCCCTTGAGATGCCCCTTCCACCTCTTCAGGCAGATGGTCCCCGCCCCCAGCCTCACCCACGCCACCTACTGGCAGCACAGAGCACATGCTTCTCTTGGCACCAGGGCAGGAATCACTAACCCATTTCCATCACCAGCAACCCAACAGAGGCACAAGTGACCCCTCCCTGCATCCCCAAAAGTGCAGGGGGCACCCCGGTCTCTGCAGCACAACTGGAAAGGCAGCTGAAGGGCTGGAAGCGCCAGACAACCCGAGACCCTCCCTCCCCCAACAGCAGAGGCTGGAAGGAAACGGAAGCATCAGCTGCAAGATCCCAGAGCTACACACGTGGGGCTTCACAAGCTTCGATTTTGAATAATACATATTCGTTTCACAAACAAGACCTTTAGTTCATCTGAACAATTTAATCAGGTACAATGCTTGAGTGGGTTTAATATTTCCTAGACGTTCTGAATCAGCAACGAGATGGTAATATTTCAGTTTTAAATTCTCTCCTGTAATAGCATTTAAACATTAATGATTCTCTATCCCAGTTCTGCCATAATTAAACTCGGAAAGTTTTTCAAAGGTGCAATTATTTTATTTCCTGAGGGAAATATATACATATACATATATATATATATATATATATATATACACACACACACACACACAGATTTATATATTTATAAAAAATATATATTTAGAGAGAGATGAATATATGAGAGAAAAATAGTTAGGAACTTGCAAGGGAACTCCAGCTAAAATGTACCTACTTTAACTATGATTCACACCCTGGTCCAACTGAATATAACATAACCTTTACTAAGAATTTGGCAACATCCATTATTAAGTCTCAGGACTTCTAGCTACTACTGCACTGGCAAAAAGTGTTTCACAAAGCAAAGGTCCATGCCCCCCGAGAACTATACGGGCTTTGGGGGCTGTGGTGTGAGCAACTTAACAAGACCCTGAATACAGAGGCCCCACCTAAGGAAAAAATAAATAGTGGTTTGCTACTGGAGACAGTATACCTTTGTTCGGTCTTATGTTCTAAAGATAGAGTGAAAGAAACCAGTTATGCGTTTAGAGGAAATAAGGAAACTACCTTTAGAACCTTGCAGTAGGCAAGGATTTCTCCACAAGCACAAAAGACATTCACCACAAAAGGAAAAAAAATGGATAAATTGGACTAAATTAAAATTGAGAACTTATGCTCATTAAGAGACTGAAAAGGCAACCCACAGAAAGAAGATAGCCACAGCACATCTGCTCTGACAAGAGATGCACATCCAAAACACACACGAAACTCCTGCAAAGCGATATGGAAAAGACAGGCAACACGACTGAAAAGCAGACACAACTTTAACTTCACAAAAGAAACCGTCCAGTGTGGAGTGAACAGAAGCCTGCATGCCGCTGGTGAGAGTGTACAAACCGCTACGACCACTCACAAAAACTGAAAACCCCAAATGCCTAGGGATTCCCCAGCAGCTATTCACCGAAAGACAAGCACTGACAGCTTATTAATAGCCTCCACCTGGAAACTCTCCCAACGCCCATCAACAAGAGCACGAACAGACTGCAGGGGTTTCACGCCAGGAGAAGCCCATTCAACAATGAAAACGAGAACAAAAATGAAATCAAAGAACGGTCTGCAACTGAAATAGCCCTATGGGAGGACCTCAGGCCCACGATCCTGAGTGAAGGGGGTCCACGCCCTGTGACTCCACTCAGGTGAAGTTCAAAACCAGCTGTAAGCGCGTGGTCGTGAGTCGGGACCACGGTCACCTGTGGTGACGCTGGCGGGACTGGTGACACTCTGTCTCTGGGACTAGGTGCTAGTTATGAGGGTGTGTCCAGTTTGTGAAACTGGAGAAAGCCGTACACATGGTATCTGCATTTTCTGTCTGTAGAGTATACATATATATACACACATATACATACATATATCACCAAAAAACAAACAAACCCCAGAACCCAAAACCAAAGATATTTTGAGGATCTGTCCTGACCTGTGAGAACAGGAAGCAAACAGGCAAACTCTGAGAATGATGACGGTTCAACCCCCAATAACCCCCAAATAACTAATTTTCCTCCCATATCCAGAAAGTTTGCTTACCTGTAAAAACTTATTTAATTGATTCTTTGACTTTTCCATAAACTTTTGATCTACAGATTTGAAAGGCAGCTTGCTAAGAGAAGGCAACTGGACTTTTTTTAAAGAAGGGAAACACTGTGAGGGAAAAAAATTATATGTTAGTATATTGAAATTACATTTAAATCTTTAAAAAAATTTTAGATTTTTAATAAGAACAAACCGAGTATCCTCTTCCTATACTAGGTTCCTCTGAGACTGAAGACCTTGAAAACCTCCCTGTTCTAACCAGGCTCAAGGAATCCGGAAGAACAGGACATGTGACCAAAAAAGCTAACGCCTGTCCCTGGACTTACAAACGCCTGGAAGCTGGAAATTGTGGAGCTGGGCTGGGAAGGTGGGTCTGCACCACAGGCACGGAGCACAGTGTGTGGGGTACGGACACGTGGCTCCCAGCAAGAACTTTTCTCTTAGAATGTGCTCTGTTTACAATATCTCTGTAAAAAGTTATCAGGGTTGACAAAAGAAGACCATGGAGAGAAAGAATAACTCAGGTTGTAGCTTTATCACTGCCTTTCAAGGGCAAACTGCAGAATGTAAATATATTAATAATAATAAAGTATGTTAACAGATAATAAACTTCCCTCTGTGGATTAAATCCTGCATTTTGCCAGGCACTGTGCTAGAGGCTGGGTGTGTGTAACGGCTCTGAGTCACCCCTACTTTACATATGGGACAACTGAGGATCGGGGCTGAAACCCACATCCATCTGGCCATCAAGTCTGGCCTCAGTGCCCGCAGGACTCTGCAGCCTGCCCCTCAGACGCCGGGAGGACAGTGGGTTCCAAATGCTCCAGACGCTGCCTCTTCACTAAGGCACTGGGGCCACTGGAATATGCTGACTAGATCACTGGTGCTGAAAAGTAAGTGAGCACAGAGTGCCTGCAACGGCCTTCCCTCCTACTGTTTTCAGGGTCACAGCAGCCCCGACAGGGACCTATCACAGCTGTCAACAGGAAGAGTTCTTTCAAAAAATGAAAACTCCAAAAAAAAGAAAGTAAGTAAGAAAAGAAAAAAACTCACACAATATGAAATGCCAAAGGTGAGAGAAGAACCCAGGAATCAGGCCACAGAGGAAGAAATATAATGAGACAAAAGGACAGACGTGAAATTTTATAAGGCTTGTTTCCTCTAACGCTTCAGAGCAATTGTTCTTGATAGAAATTACTGATTAAAAGTGTTTTTAAAAAATCACCCTAGAAGAAAAGGTGAAAGGAAATAGACATATTTCCTTTGCAAAAGAAGGGTCTGAGAGGTGACCGTAGGGTTTTACCAGCATCAGTTCATTCTGAGCAAGAGAAAAATGGACTTAAGTGAAGGTAGAAACAACTGAAGAACACTTTAATTGCTGGGGTAAAGGGCAATTAGCTCCAGTAGATGGAGAGTTAGAGAAGATGCAACTCCTGAGAAAAATGGGAAAATCGTGAATGGAAACTAAGACAACCTGGATTCTAGTCCTGCTTTGGCCGTTATGTATACATCCTACTATGAGTCAGTTAAACTCTCTGGGATCACGTTCCCTCATCTATCAAATAAAAGAACTGACCTAGATTAGTAGCTTTCAAACATTTTAAACTAAAATCCACAGTAGGAAATACATACCACATTGCAACCCACGATGCACATGCAGATACATGCATCCATATATTATATAGTACACACACCTAGACATAACAGTACACATACCCAAACGTATACACACCCAGACATACAATACACACACCCAGACATACACACATCCATCTATGCAATATACACACCCATACTTATAATATACACACCCATAAAACCGAAGCAAAAGTACCATGAAACAGTGCTCATTACTACTACTACTGTAACTACTACTAATAAAAACAAATAATGTTTACTATGTGCAGCACGTTCTTCTAAATGCTCTGTACACGCTTATTCCCTTCATTCTTACAACAGCTCTGTGAGATAGGTAAGGAAGGCACTATTAGTATCAGTAGAATACAGATATTAATAAAAAGAGGTATAAAGAGAGAGAGTGACAGGTCCAGGTCACAGAGCTGGTAAGTAGTAAAGCGAGGATCCAAACTGGATCCAAACTCGAGCAGCCTGGCTGCGGAGTCTGTGCTCTCAACCACCGCACTCTATGGATGCAATTCCTTTATGTGATGAAATGCAATATATTCTATCCTCTTTCTATTGCTGCAACCCAGAACTGATCTCACTACCCGCAGTGGGTCACAACTGGCAGCTCTGAAACCAATGGCCATCGATGCTCCCCAGCTCTCCTCCAGCTCTGGGGTTCTGGGGGATACAACGGAGGTCAGACAATTATCTATCCTGAAGGATTTAGACTAGACTAGATGGTTGATCTTCAAGTAAATTTCTAAACGTCAAGCTGAAAATGCCACTTTGCCAGTATCAACAGCAAAGGAGAAAGATGAATCCGTTTCTTTGTGTGTAAAAATTGAAATGAGCTCTTAAATCTCTTCTTCAGTTATTCTAAATCTGTGTTCACAAGAATTCATACCTCACTAAGTTTCCGGTGTAAATTCTGAAACTCACTGAGCCTTCTGGGGACTGTCCAGTTCTTAGTTTCAACTCCTCCAACTTCTTGTAAGCTTACCATGACAAAGTAACAGGGCATTTGTTCACCATTCTCTTCTGTAACCTTGGAAAAAACAGACGAACACAACAGCAACGAAAAGCACGGTGAGCGATACGGTAGGCAAGACGTTTAAGTGTCCCCCAGGATCTCCCTCTCCCTGGCGTGTATGCCCCACACAGTCCCCAGGACTTGAAAATGATGGGTTCTATTCTGGCAGTTAGGGCATGTCACATGGACAAGCAACCTTAAACTAGGGCCTAATCCTAACCATGTGGGCCCTTTCAAAGCAGAGGGATTTCTCTGGCGAGTAGCAGAAGAGGAATCAGAGGAAGCACGAGAAAAGTCTGACATGTGCCACTGTAAAGATGGAGAGGGCCATGCGGAAAGGGTCTGGGAGTGCTGCCAGGAACTGAGAGCAACATCGTGCTGACGGCAAAAGAACAGAGTCCTCAGTCCCACAACCACCAGGAACTGAATCCTGCCAATGACCTGAATGGACCTGGAAGTGGATTTTCCCCAGATTCTCCAGACAAGAACTCAGTCTGGCCAACAACCTGATTTCAGCCTTACGATGCAGAGAACACAGTCAGACTGCGCTGGACTTTCAACCTACACAACTGTGAGCTAATAAATGGGTGATGTTTTGAGCCATGAAATGTGTGGTAATTTGTTGTGCAGCAAAAGAAAACTAACATAGCAGACTTAACATCCTAACTGGGTTTCCTTGAAAAAGCAAATTAACAGGAAGCGAACAGGTGTGAGAGACCAAAACCTCTCTCAGAGAAGGATGAGGGTTTCCCCAGTTTAATACAGGATTCCACAAGCTGTGATTTCCATTTTCGAGAAATTTCACATTGGGAGACCTAATTTCCCCTACCTCCCAACTTAAGGTAATTCTTAAACACTTACACACACACCCTGTCATAATTCACAATAGCCACCATTGCTCTTCATGTAAATGGATGAGAGAAGAAACAAAAAGGAAATACATTGAATCTAAGCTTGAATTAGTGTCATGAACCGAAATTAGAGACGAAGAATCAACAGAAAGGCAAGGGAAGGAGACAGCGAACTTGCCTAGCACCGGCTGAGCCCCACCAGGTAGGATCACCGTGCCCCTGTGAGGACGGGGGGTGGAGGCGAGCACACAGCTCACGGCGGCTCAGCCCTCTCAGAGCTCCAGGGAGGCTGGCACGAGGCAAACACATCCTCCACAGGTTCGCACACGGGGCTGCTTCGTGAACTCTCGGCAGTCAGGTGACCCCTCTGGGTCCATTTCCGTTATCTTTTCGGGAACCAAGGTCGCAGCAAGCCCCTGAGCGATAGCTGATCACCAGGGCAAAGGGCCTCGTGAGGGTTTTTCCTCCTCTCCTCCCTCCCTCAGTATTTGCCTTTGGAAGATAGTTATAATAAACTGTGAAATGTCAGAGGCAGCTCTACGCAAAGGTGAGAAGGTGACAGAATGTGTGTTCTCTGCCCTCCAAGGGCCTCCTGTTACCTTTTGACATCACATCCCCTGAGCTCCCCCCTTCCTAGATGTCCATCCCAGAGGCAACTCCATCTGTGGTGACCAAGCGTTTGTACACGGTATTCCAGGCTCTGTGCAACCTTCCCTCCCCACTGCCCTCCCCTCCCCTCAAGAAAGGTATCTGGCCCTGCAGCTCACCTGAAAGGGAGGCTCAACAAGCACCAAAGACAGACTAAGGGCACTTGGTAAGCTCTCACGCAACACGTGTGCTGTCAGGCTGGCTCCTGGAGAACATGCGTGGTGTTGCTGCCTAAACTAGAAGGGAATTTAAGACTGTGAATTCTAAGCCCTTCCCCCGGTAAGAGTGTCAGGCCACTGAGTTGACGGGAAAAGCAGGGATGGACACATAAGTTGGGCAGGTGGGCCCTTGCAAATCTCAGGAGCTGAGTATTTGACCAACCATTTGAGGCAATGATGGGGCCAAACAGTCACAATGACTTACTCAGGATCTTGTCATTTGTGTGCTATACGGTGGACCGGACTTTCTCTTTTTTTTAAAATTAATTTTATTGGAGGAGAGTTGATTTACAATGTTGTGTTAGTTTCAGATGTACAGCAAAGTTATACATATACATATACATATATTCATTCTTTTTCAGATTGTTTTCCCATATAGATTATTACAGAATATTGAGTAGAGTTCCCTGTGCTATGCAGTAGGTCTTTGTTGGTTATGTATCTTACATATAGTAGTGTGTGTGTGTTCATCCCAAACTCCTATTTTATCTCTGCCCCATCGCCATGTTTCCCCTTCGGTAACCATAAGTTTCTTTTAGAAATCTGTGAGTCTGTTTCTTTTGTAAATAAGTTAATTTATATCATTTTTTAAAATTAGATTCTACATATGACTGACATCATTATGATATTTGTCTTTCTCTGTCTGACTTACTTCACTTAGTAACATCATCTCTAGGTACTCTGGACCTGACCTTCATCTCCAGGTTTCGACAGTCGGGCAGGTGGGAAGGAAGGAGTTGTCAACACTAACAATGTAAATGCATAGAAATATCTTTCCTTTAAATGAAATTATTTTTACAGACAAAAGAAAAGGGATACAGTGTATTCTGAAAACTATTGTCCCATATCCCTCAGAGAATAGCAAAATATTTTCTACTTCAAGGGAAAACATATTCATTATTAAAGATCTGAGAGCTATTGACATTTGAGCCACTGAAGTCAGCAGGACGGATCAATCAGAAACACATTTAAAATTCTTCATCTCCAAATTTCAAGCAGTGCTTTCCATTTTATTTCAACCCTCAGTGGAAAAGTAAATTGGTAATTCAAGGACATTAATTGTTCCTATCTGAAAGTTGCTTATGATTCCAATGAACAAGGACAACTTTCTGTCTGAAGTGGAGGGAGATCAGATCTACACCAGGCAACCCAGTAACAGCTCCCAGTCATGAACCAGAGTGAAAATACGGGGTGAGGAAGGCAAGACCAATGCAGTCTAGAAGAATGAATATAAGTTTTCTATTCCCAACCTTAATTATTTGGAACAAAATCTTGTCTGATAAAGTCAAACTTAAACTTTGGAAATAAATACCTAATAAACTGGGAAGAAAAGCAGACAAACCTACCTCTCCACTGGTGATGGAGGCTTTCCACATACCGAGGTTCTCACACCACCAATCTGTTCTTGCCATGTGCAGCTGAAGTTCTGTGCGTTCTTTCTCTATTAGAATTATTTCCTCCTTCAACTTAGAAACAATCTGCCACAGGAAAAACATCCTGGGAGTCATGAAACCATCTAAAATGCTATGCAATTCAGCAAAGTAGCAGGATACAAAATCAACACACAAAAATCAGCTGTGTTTCTATACACCAGCAATGAACAATTCAAAAAGGAAATTAAGAAAACAATTCCATTTACAATAGCATAAAAATAATAAAATACTTAGGAATGAACTTAAGCAAGGAGGTGAAAGACTTCTATGATGAAAACTACAGAACACTGATGAAAGAAATTAAAGGAGACATAAGTAAATGCAAAGACATCCCATGTTCATGGACTGGAAGACTAAATATTGCTAAGACTCAATGCTACCCTAAGCAATCCACAGTTTCAACACAATCTCTATCAAAATTCCAATGATGTTTTTGCACAAATAGAAAAATCCATCCTAAAATTCATGTGGAATCTCAAGGGAAACTGAATAGCCAAAACAATCTTGAAGAAGAACCACAAAGTTGAAGGACTTACACTTCCTGATTTCAAAATTTACTGCAAAGCTACACTAATCAAAACAGTATGCCATTGGCATAAAGACAGACATATACCAATGGAATACAATAGACAGCCAAGAAATAAACCTTTGCATATATGATCAAATGATTTTCAACAAGGGTGCCAAGACCATAAGTGGGAAAGGACAGTCTTTTCCACAGATGGTGTTGAGAAAACTGGATCATCACCACATGCAAAACAATGGAGTTGGGCCCTTACATAATACCATATACAAAGGTTAACTCAAAATAGATCAAAGACCTACTCGTAAGGCTAAAACTATTAAATTCTCAGAAGAAAATATGGAGGAGTTTCATGACACGGGATTGGCAATGAGTTCTTGGCTATGACACCAAAGGTACAGGCAACAAGAGAAAATACAGGCCAAATGGACTGCATAAATTTTTAAAACTTTTGTGCAAAGAACACTATCAACACAGTAAAAAGGCAGCTCACAGAATGGGAGAAAATATTTGCAAATCACTTATTTGATAGGGGGCTGATATCCAGAATATATAGAGAACTCCTAAAACTCAACAACAAAAAACAACCTGATTCAAAAATGGGCAACGTACTTGAATAGACATTTCTCCAGAGAAAACAAATAGCCAAAAAGCACATAAAAAGATGCTCAACATTACTAATCATTAGGGAAATGCAAATCAAAACCACAATGAGATACCACCTCACACCCATTAGAACAAATGCTATCAAAAAACAGAAAGTGGGCTTCCCTGGTGGCACAGTGGTTGAGAGTCCGCCTGCCGATGCAGGGGACACGGGTTCGTGCCCTGGTCCGGGAAGATCCCACATGCTGCGGAGCACGCAGGCTCAGCCTGCGCGTCCAGAGCCTGTGCTCCGCAACGGGAGAGGCCGCAACAGTGAGAGGCCCGCATACCACAAAAAAAAAAAACACAGAAAAACCCCCAGAAAGTAACAAGTGCCAGTAAGGATACTGAGAAACTGGAACCCTTATGTGCTGCTGGTGAGAAGGTAAAACGGTGCAGTCACTATGGAAAACAATACAGAGATTCCTAAACAATTAAAACAGAACTACCATATGACCCAGCAATACCCCAAAGAAGTGAAAGCAGGGTCTTGAGATATTTGTACATCCATGTTCAAGGCAGCATTTCTTACCATAGCCAAAATGTGGAAGCAAACCAAGTGTCCATCAATGGATAAATGAATAAACAAAATGTTGTATATACATGCAATTGAATATTAGCCTTAAAAAGGAATGAAATTCTGACACATGCTACCATATGGATGAATCTTGAGTACGTTATGCTAAGGGAAACAAACCAGTCACAAAAGGACAAACACTGAATGATTCTACTCACAGGAGGTACTTAGAGTAGTTAAATTCATAAGAGGCAAAGGGAGAATGGTGGTTGCCAGGGACTGGGGGTAAGGGATGGGGAATTACTGTTTACTGGGTATAGAGTTTCAGTTTTGCAAGATGAAAAGGAATTCGGGAGATGGATGGTGCTGGTTATATAACAATGTGAACATACTTAATGCCAGTGAACTGTACACATGGTAAATTTTATGTTATGTATACTTGGCTACAATTTTAAAAAATAAATAATTTTTAAAAAATTCTATGCTCACCGTCTCCTTGGATCTCTTTTAATGAGAAAACCTATAAGGTTATGCAACTCTGTAGTTTGAGGACAGCAGCTTTGCCTCAACTTTGCCTCATGGCTGCATGTTCAACTCTCCTAAACATGCAGCCCACAAGGACCCTCCTCAGAAAGCCTGCACATCCTGCATTTTATCATCAGTAAGGGCTGTAATGTTCGGTTCCACAGTCAGCACATTTGCTCCCCAAGGGCAGGTGTTAGACTCTGTTTCACTGATTCTTCATGGTGACCAGCACAGCCTCCTGCACTTACTCATTGCTCAGGCTTCTGAACGCACATTCGAAAAGGGCCAGAGGAGATCACTTTGGGGAAGCAAGGAGTGCCAGCCATGCCTCCCTACATTAGGGAAGCCTCCTTTTTCGACCAAAGGGGCATGAACACAAAGCAGAAAGCCACACCACCCCTTGGGTGTGAGGAATGCCACAGTGAGATGCTGTTTACATTTTTTAAACTTTCAAATTCTGTTGGTTTCTAGCGAAACAATGTATTTCTTGCATAATTCTGTGAGGTGCTCTAAGTTGTACTTGCAGTGTTCAAAAGAAAAAAAAATTTTAAGACTGTCCTTGCAGAGTTAACTCACTTCCAGAAACAACTGTGGCACAAGGGGAAGCTCAGCCCCTTCCCCAAAGGCACTGTAGGCAAGTCGGACAAAAGACACAGAGTTACAGCTGAGGATGGGAAAGAACCCCAAATCATAATAGATAAAAGACAAATGCTTTGCTAATTCTATACTAGAAGCAAAAACAAAAAACAAAAAAAGCCAATGGATCTTAGAGTTGAAATTCTTTTTAAAGAAACACTTCTCAACATAAACTGAAAACTACTATTTATCAAATTAGAAAAATGGAAACTTTTAAAGACAACCTCGAAAGCAGAAGAGTTACCTTCTTGTCAGGTTTTGGTGCATTCTGAATAGAATTTAGAGCTTGCCTCTTATAGTCAAGTTTCTCATTTAGTTCTCGTAGTTTGTTTACAGCAAAACTGGTTTGTTCATTAATCCGACTGGTACCGTCATCCACAGATTCCTCACCAGCCTCACCTCCCGGGTCCTGGGGGAAAACATCACATGAACCACCATATCTTATAGTGGTGGAATATTCCCTAAGTATTACCTATAGTATAGGTTCTAGATCATTACAATACACTGCTCCAAAGCACTGGATTCCACTACGAATCCATGGTAGAAAGCCTAGAAGTAGACTGTTTTTTCTCAGCTAAGTGAAAAAGCAAAGGATCAATATTTAGAATCAAAGTAACTGGTATTTGGAATTGCAGTGAAAAAAAAGAAACATTTAATAGCCTAGCGAAAGGCCACACCACTATTTCCCAAATAGTATACCCAAGGGAACCTGCACAGAACAAGGAAGGCAACTGAGTTATCTTCCCAGCTCAACCCAAATGTTCTGTGCCTAAATTTTGACAAAAAACACTAAGACCTGGCTTCCTTTTGGGCTCCTAAGAATATTATGAAAAATTCACGCGTGTCCCTTTAAAATAGAATTTTAAAAGGGTTCCCTGGTGGCGCAGTGGTTGAGAATCTGCCTGCCAATGCAAGGGACACGGATTCGAGCCCTGGTCCAGGAAGATCCCACATGCCCCGGAGCAAATAAGCCCGTGCGCTACCGAGCCTGCGCTCTAGAGCCCACGAGCCACAACTACTGAGCCCATGCACTGCATCTACTGATGCCCCCGTGCTCTAGGGCCTGTGCTCCGCAACAAGAGAAGCCACCGCACCGCAACGAAGAGTAGCCCCCACTTGCCGCAACTAGAGAAAGCCCGCGCACAGCAACGAAGACCCAACACAGCCAAAAATAATAAATAAATAAAAATAAATAAATTTAAAAAAGATGTGCGTGTCTTAATCTTCAGAACCTACGAATACATTAAAATAGAATTCCCAAATTCCCACTAGTGAAAGTATTTTCAGTATACACTTTGCTCAGTCCTTATTTTTACTAATCAACAGGTAGATTATTTTACAAGTAAAATGGTTAGCATTGAAAGTGACTTAAGATTCATAAAGGACCACAGAGTTTGGAAAAACCTGAACAGATTACCAGCAAATAGCATATTAGTAATTAGATTCATGAGCAGCAACAGCATGAAAAGAACTGCTGAGAACTGTCTTCTGGTTCATTTACTTCTTAACTTCCTTCCAGATTTTTTTGTCTGATTTTTATTAATTGTAACAAACAGTAAAAGAAATTTTTCAAAGAAAAATAAAGTATTAATAATCCCAGAACACCAAGCATTTTTGTATATTCTTTCTAATCCTTGTCCATGAGTATATATATTATGACATCGTCCTACTCCTTGTATACATTCAAGAGGGTATTCTGCCTTTTTCGCATAATATACAAGGCTGTATATTTGAGGGTATTGTAGTCTTCCAAGTTATAACTGCTATGGCTGCATAGTATTCTATGAATTGATAATATACTGAGGCATTCCCTATTGCTATGGGTTGATTCTGCTTTTTTGCCTTCCCAAAACCTAAAATAAACTCCACTGTGCATAAACTTTTTTTTTCCTACATTTTAGTTCTTTTCATAGGATAAATTTCTAGAAGTGGGACTACTGCAACAAAGAGTAGGAGCTTTCAAAAGATCAGTGATACACACCACCCTGCTCTGAATGCTGGGTGAAGATGCACATTTTTTCACGTTTGTTTACTATTTATTACCTTTCATATTAACTGTCAGTTCAAGTCCTTATTCAGTTTATCTGTTGGGTATTGATTTGGACAAACTTTTCACAACATTTGAATATTAACCATTTTAATTTCTGAGGTAGAGAGATCGGTTTGTTTTAGCTGGGCTATCCTAAAAATAAAATGCAAGGAGTAACGAGTTTTGGACCAATTAGTTCAGTGGTTTTATACACTGAAAATGTAAAGAACCAAGTAACAAAACTTTCTTTCAAAAGTCTGAATGAATGAATTTACCAACAGTTCAGAGACATCTGCTTCTAATACCATCATGAACAAGTACCTGATTCCTCAGGGCTTGAGATACAGTGAACTGGACAGAAAGAAAGAATCCAAGATAAATTACAATCTTTCTATATAAGGTGATTCTAAAACACTTTTCCTTTGTACCTTCAAAACCTTCAAACTCATATAGGTCATTAGTAGTAAAGGGAGACGGCAACTGGGGCTCTCCAAAATGACCCAGGACACTATAAGAAAATCAGACTTCAGGTATGGCTGGACAAGGTTTCTTTCAAAACATCTTAATTTCATCTGATTTTTTTTAAACTCCAAAATATTTCCTGCAGACTCCTCCTGCATCATCTACCTCTCCTCATTTCTTCCCAGTCCTTTTTGTCTGTTCTCCAGCGGGACTGTTGTGCTAATGATTCTCTTACTTGGTCACAAATGTCCCACCCCACAGATTTTCTGCCCTCACTTTTCAGGAGTCAAATCCAGCTGTGTCTCAGGCAGACAGAGCAGGGGGCGGTCTCTGACTCAGCAGCGGCTGGTGGTACCCAGCTGGTCAGAAGGACAAAGACAGAAGTGAGGACGAGAAGCAACAAGTAAGTTCAACTTAAAGTTCCACTTAAAGTGCTGTATGCTAAGATGCAGAGAATGGACTTGAGGACACGGGGAGGGGAAAGGGTACGCTGGGACAAAGTGAGAGAATGGCAAGGACATGTATACACTACCAAACGTAAAACAGACAGCTAGTGGGAAGCAGCCGCATAGCACAGCTCGGTGCTTTGTGACCACCTAGACGGGTGGGAGGGAGACGCAAGAGGGAGGGGATATGGGGATATATGTATATGTATAGCTGATTCACCTTGTTGTACAGCAGAAACTAACACAACATTGTAAAGCAATTATACTCCAATAAAGATGTTAAAAAAAAAAGTGCTGTATGCCAAAAGATAAAGGTGCGTGCACACCAAATCTGGCTCACAAAATCTGCACCCACATAATCATATTCAAAGCTTATCCACTCAAAAGGGAGCAGAAAGTTAAACATGACTCACCATTTCATCCTTGTTGGAAATCAACTGGGAGACATGCTTTTCTTCCTCTTTTATCATCAATTTCTCATACAGATCACTGACAATAAATGAAGGGTAATACCTATCCTTCAGCATCTCATAAACGTCTCCCTGGATTTTGCAGAACACTTCGATTCCTTTATTTCCTACAAGACACTGCTGGATTTCTTTGTAAAGTGATTTTTCCACAGATATTTCTTTGCTCTCCACGAAGAAATTCTGGTAAATTTCACCAACTAATTGTGGAATTTCGTTCTGAAAAGACAGGAAGATGAAGAAAGTAATACCATCTCTGAGAAAAACTATTTTCTTCTGAATTATCTGCATTTTAAAGGTGGAAGGGAGACATCATGTAGAATGTAGGATGAGTGTGCAAAGGCTTTTGTGGGCACATTCAGGGCCAAGGGGTGAGTGTCAGACCCTGAAAAAACAACTGGTTCCTTAAAAGGAACACTTTACGTTGAACAGTTAACAAATGTAATTTCTTTTTAATGCTGGAAGGAAAAAAATAAGAATGAGAACAGTTCTCTTCTTGCAGTGGATTCCTTCTCATAAATCTCAGTTCCACAGGAATACAATTGATCAGCTAAATTCAGTATGACTTTTTCATCCAGTAAAAATAATTAGAAATGCCAACTTCTCACTCCAGAAGAAAGTCAATATAATAATTGTATAATTAGGGCTTCCCTGGTGGCGCAGTGGTTGAGAGTCCGCCTGCCGATGCAGGGGACGCGGGTTCGTGCCCTGGTCCAGGAAGATCCCACATGCTGCGGAGCGGCTGGGCCCGTGAGCCATGGCCGCTGAGCCTGCGCGTCCGGAGCCTGTGCTCCGCAACGGGAGAGGCCACAACAGTGAGAGGCCCGCGTACCACAAAAATAATAATTGTATAATTAAAGAAAGCAAGAGAAATATTCTTCAGAATGATGACTTACTACATTGTAATCAAGCTTGTATTACACAGCTTGGTCTTAAGGTCTCCGCCTAAGTGTACTAAGCCTAATTCGGAAGTGCAAACATCTCATTAACATAACCTTTACATTGCCACTATGGACAACTTATTAACTCTAGAAATGTTATGAAAAGTCTTCGACGGTAGCAAAAAATGAAGACAAACGACTTAACGGATATTATGAATACAACAAACAATCCGGAAGTTTTACATCCAAATCAGTGTTGCTAGGTCAAAATACAGCTATTTGAGGAAGCTATATCCTCTTATTGCATTGACATTTTCCAACTTGTTTTCAGTAGTTTAGGACAATTTTTTAGATTGCTCTTTTCAATATTCCTCTGAGAGCAGCCAAAAGTCAAGCTTGTAGTCAAGTCTGGTAAATAAAATATGTAATAAAGTTGGCAAATATAATATTGAGTAAAATGAGGTAATTTGTGGCTTATAAATGAACAATGAAAGACATTCCTAAGAAGATTTAAAAATACTATGAGACTGGATTTAGTTTCTTAACCAAAGTAGTCTGTAATTTATGATGTATTTTAAGTTGGTATTCAGCCCTAGCAACATTCATGTGAAGTGCAAATGAGTAATTTAATGTACACAGTGCTGTTTATGCTTACTTTAATAAGCCTCTCAAGAGTGGCATGGACATACATACACTACCAAATGTAAAATAGCTAGCTAGTGGGAAGCAGCCACATAGCACAGGGAGATCAGCTCGGTGCTTTGTGACCACCTAGAGGGGTGGGATAGGGAGGGTGGGAGGGAGACGCAAGAGGGAGGAGATATGGGGATATATATATACATGTATACCTGATTCACTTTGTTTTAAAGCAGAAACTAACACACCGTTGTAAAGCAATTACACTCTAATAAAAATGTTAAAAATAAATAAGCCTCTCAAAATGCACGTATTATATATGTTGTACATATTGTTATGTTTTTAGACATATATATATATATACACACACACACACACATATTTCACACTCTTCAATTTAACTCTTAAATATATGTCGAGAACTTGCCAAGTGCAAAACACAATGCTTATTGTTGGGCTTTGTGCTGTAATAGGCATCTGTGACCAAAAATTATTTTTTGTCTTGCTTAACACAATCATATTTTAAATTAAAGGAGGACAGTTGTGTAAAATGTGCACATAAGGTTATGAGATTGAAGTATAGGTGATAAGACCAAATTTATTGTAACAGCCATGTGGGTAATAAGTATATGCCTTTTTTATAATGGGTTAAAAAATAACTACCTGAAACTAAATTCAATAATTGGGAATATTTGTAAATCTTTTTTCCTTGACTACACATTCAAAAGCACTTTTTGTAAAAATGAAATCTAATTCTATTTACCATTATGGGCTAGAACATAATGCCGATAATATATTTGGTTTAAAGTATTCTTTTAATGTATCTTATCTTACAGCTTGATTAAGAAACACAGACATACTGCCTAACATACAAGTTTTCATCAGCTAGTGATTAATATTCCTTTGGGCCTATATATCCTACCTTGTGAGCATTCTTTAAATATTCCACAGACTCCCAAAAGCTAATCAGAGCTCTCTTGTCCATCCTTTCCATGTATGTTCGAAAGTGCTCTCGGTAGGAAGCATTGGCCAAGATATCTTCGAATTGAAGAATCTATGAAGGAAATTTAAGAGAAAGTTTTTAAAAATCAAATTTCAAATATCAGTTTGCTTTAACTTCCAATGGATTACTTTCTACATTCAGGAAAAAATGTCTCATTTTCTAAGTTCATAGTCAATGTAATAGAGTACAGTAAATTTAAAAAGTTTACTGAATATTCAAAATGCACATATTCAATAAATACCAATTTTCTATTAATCATTCATTCATTCAGCAAAAGATTTATTTGGCATCTACTCTGTATCAGGCACATTTCTAGGAAATGAAACAGACAAAAATCCCTGCCTTATGGGATGTATTGCTAAAAGCAATCGTGCCAATAATAGAAAAAGTGAAGAGAAATATATAAAAGACCAGGAAGCTGGAGCCTAATAATTTGGCATTTTTGCTTTCCATCCTATTTTCATATAGCTGAGGAAATCTACAAATGATTTCATACCTTGTCTTTTTGTTTATAATATCACATTCGTTTAAAAAAATCTTTTGTATGCATTTTAATTGGCCCATAAAACTATTGTAGAGATGTATCACAATTACTCCTTTGTTTACTATTTTGAATGCTTACAGAAAAGAAAAACTACTATCTGAAGACACAGTGAGATCAATCTTGAGTATGGACAGCAGATGAGCTTCATCATAATTCATGACTCAACTAGGAGAAATGCCTCAAATTAATTTAGAAGGAGTTTAACTCCTATATCCTTAGTTATTAATTAGTAATAAAAATGATGTCTATGTATACTGCAACGAAAAGAAAACTTACATTTAAGATTTTTAAAATTAATATTGTGGCAATTGGAAAAATTTCAGAAATGTTACCAGTTAAGATCTTTCTAAAATCAGGTGCATATGATCAATGCATGTTCAACTCTTTCTGCCACTGACAGTAAGTCCTCAATCTGTTCTGTGGACAGAAAGGGCAGGCATTTTTCTAATAACTTTCGATAACTAAGTAATCAAAAGTGATCCCTTGCTACAGACCATTAATATTTAGGATTTAGTTTACTAACTTTGGGAGACCGTAGCATGTATCCTCACTTTATGTACACCTACCAGCGAAGCATTTTTCGGTACAAATCCTAACTGTACAGGCTCCAAAGAAGTCTGAAGGCTCCCATGTCGACTCTGGCTGGGAATGACAGATCACTCAGACAGCAATCCATTTTTAACATGGGGAGGAGCTGAGCAGGAAAGACTCTCAACAATTCTAAGGAAGTCTTCCCAGTATAATTTCATGGATTGAAATGAATTTCAAGTTAGATACAAATCCACATATTTGCAAAATCAAGTCCAAAACATCTTCTAAATTAGCCACTTTTAGATTCTTTTATTGTGTCTTATGAACACTCTTATGTTTAGTTCTAAAAGTGCAAATATATGCAAATAAATGACAGCAAATATATCTCAAGTCTAACTGAACATCTGATATATCTCATATCTTAGCTGGTGAATTAACCAAGTTCTCTACTCCATTTGTTTTCTATTTTCTCTTGAAGCCTGCATAAGCCTTTCAATGATTCACACCTACACTAACGGTGTGGGTCTGTGTCACCAGGATAAGGAGACTGCACACTTCTGAGTCAAATGTGTTAACGTGAGATGAACTCAATCCCATTGTGTTAATGTAAGATGAACTAATCTCAGTAATTCTGAGCCTGTTGTGTGGAAGTGGAAAGAAAAGACTGGGTAGGTCCACGTTGACACTACTGCTAAATATATGATTAAAAAATATATATCTAGAGAGAGAGACAATGTAATACCAATTAACATTTACTAAGGGCTTCCATAGAGCAAACACTGTGCTCTTGCATTAATTTCCTTCTGCTGAATCAGCACGTTTCCTTCTGTCCTAAGACTTCTGGTAAATTCTGGGAGGGCTGATGCCACAATCAATAATCTCTGGGCAGAAGACAAAAAATTGTCCTGGTGGATGTCACATATGCCGAAGGCCATGAAGTATTTCAGGCTGGAAGGTAGCCTATGCAGGCAGATTGTTCTTTATTCCCCTCAGGGATTTTTATTTACTCCTTTTTCACTATCTCCCAAACCCACTGGATCTGGTTTCATGATGCATACTCTATTAACTTAGTTTTATGTTTTGTGTGTATTACCCCTTGACCAGCAGGTTAATTTTTCTCTAGGAAATATACCCCCTAAGCACTCAAAAGGACCACAAGGCCTAGAAGAGTAAGTAAATGTGCTCTTAATATCCCCAACATGTTACCAAGAGGGACCCAGGCCCAAGATTCTCTAGCTGCCGAATACCTATGATACACTCATGAGACTATCTACGGCGTACTAACGAGAATGTGGAGAATTAGGATCTTGGGACTAATGTTTTATCCCAAAAGGAGAGACCACAATTGGGTTCCTCTTACATTTATAACATCACTAAACATACCCCTGAATAATTACTGCCAGTAATGACAAATGTTTATTAAGTGCTCATTATACACCAAGTACCATACTTACCATTTTATGTGCATTATTTAATTTAATGATTATCATGCCCTGTAGGGTATGTACAGTTAACCCTACTTTATAAATAGAGTACAGAGAGGCTAACTAACTTGCCCAAAGTCAATCCCCAGCAGACCTGGGATTAAAAGCCAGGCTTTCTGACTCTGTAGCACAGCTTCTTAACTATAATAAAATACTTACTCTCTTTAAGAAATTACCTGATTTGTATTCAGGCCAAAAAATTTAGCAAACTAAAAACAGTATGGAAGTCAAGAAGGAAAGATGGACTGAGAGCCCTACAAGAACAACATGTGAGTCTATGTTCTGGAATATATGTCTTAGGTTAAATACCAAGAAGTGAAAAGATTGTCTATGTGATTAAAGCCGTGTTCGTAACAAATATGAAACGGCAAAACAAGAAACTACAAAGTTCCACCTTCTGGCTTTGAGGCCCTTCCCCCTCATCCAAGGGCCCATCCTCTTGCTGGTCGTAGGCAGGGCCTCCCAGGATTCTGATCCTCTTCTCACACTGCTTCTTTGCCACAGTCAGTTGGTTAATGTACCTTTTCATGTTCCTGGCCCTCAGGAGATCAGCCTTCATGGCAGCAGTCTCTTTACCTTGAATGAGATAGATGGATAGTACACATTCAGAGGACAAGGTACAAAAGAGGGAACACAGCGGCTGTGGGCCAAATTAATGTCTGATGTGGCACATTCTGAGCCGCAGTGGGTACTAAAGGACAGCCACTATGGAAAACAATATGAAGGTTCCTCAAAAAATTAAAAATAGAACCACCATATGATCCAGCAATTCCACTCATGAGTATGTATCCAAAGAAAATGAAAACACTAATTCAAAAATATATATGCACCCCAATGTTCATAGCAGCACTACTTACAATAGCCAAGATATAGAAGCAACCTAAGTGACCATCAACAGATGACTAGATAGAGAAGATGTGATACACATATCTATTGGGTTGGCCAAAAGGTTTGTTTGTTTCCGTGAGATGGCTCTAGTAGCACTTAGTTGTCTTTAACTTCATTTGAAACAATTTCGTTAGATTGTATGCATCAGCTGTCACATCAGCGTGCATTTAAAAAACGACTTACCAAGATTGGTGAATTTTTATGTAGCCATTTTAATATTGAAAATGGAAGAAAAAAGCAACATTTTTGGCATATTATTCTTTATCATTTCAAGAAAGGTAAAAACACAACTGAAATGCAAAAAAAGATTTGTGCAGTATATGGAGAAGATGCTGTGACTGATCGAACGTGTCAAAAGTGGTTTTCGAGGTTTCGTGCTGGAGATTTCTTGCTGGAAGATGCTCCACGGGCGGGTAGACCAGCTGAAGTTGATACAATTAAATCGAAACAATAATTGAGAACAGGGCTTCCCGTTGGCGCAGTGGTTGGGAGTCCGCCTGCCGATGCGGGGGACACGGGTTTGTGTCCCGGTCCGGGAGGATCCTGCGTGCCGCGGAGCGGCTGGGCCCGTGAGCCGTGGCCGCTGGGCCTGCGCGTCCAGAGCCTGTGCTCCGCAACGGGAGAGGCCACAGCAGTGAGAGGCCCGCGTACCAAAAAAAAAAAAAAAAATTGAGAACAATCAATTATACCACGTGGGAGATAGCCAACATACTCAAAATATCCAAACCAAGCATTGAAAATCATTCGCACCAGCTTGGTTTTATGTTAATTGCTTTGATGCTTGGGTTCCATGTAAGTTAAGCAAAAAAAACCCTTCTTGACCATATTTCTGCATGCGATTCTCTACTGAAACGTAATGAAAATGTTCCGTTTTTAAAACAAATTGTGACAGGCGATGAAAAGTGGATACTGTACAATAATGTGGAACAGAAGAGATCGTGGGGCAAGCGAAATGAACCATCACCAACCACACTAAAGGCCGGTCTTCATCCAGAGAAGATGATGTGTGTATATGTTGGGATTGGAGGGGAGTTCCTCTATCATGAGCCCCTTCCGGAAAACCAAACAATTAATTCCAACAAGCACTACCCCTGACTAGACCAACTGAAAGTAGCACTCGACAAAAAGCGTCCAGAATTAGTCAAGAGAAAACACATAATCTTCCATCAGGATAATGCAAGACTGCGTGTTTCTCTGATGACCAGGCAAAAACTGTTACAGTTCGGCTGGGAAGTTCTGATTCATCCGCTGTATTCACCAGACATTGCACCTTCAGATTTCCATTTATTTCGGTCTTTACAAACTTCTCTTAATGGAAAAAATTTCAATTCCCTGGAAGACTGTAAAAGGCACCTGGAACAGTTCTTTGCTCAAAAAGATAAGTTTTGGGAAGGTGGAATTATGAAGTTGCCTGAAAAATGGCAGAAGGTAGTAGAACAAAAGGATGAATACACTGTTCAGTAAAGTTCCTGGTGAAAATGAAAAATGTGTCTTTTATTTTTACTTAAAAAACCAAAGGCACTTTTTGACCCACCCAATATATATTATGGAATATTACTCTGCCATAAAAAGAATGAAATGTTGCCATTTGCAATGTGGATCGACCTGGGGGCTATTATATTTAGTGAAATAAGTCAGACAGAAAAAGACAAATATTATATGTTTTCACTTATATGTGGAATCTAAAAAAACTAAAACAAACGAATGAATGTAACAAAACAGAAACAGACTCACAGATACAGATAATAAACCAGTGGCTACCAGAGGGAAGGAGTATATGGGGAGGGCCAACACAGGTGAAGGGGATTAAGAGGTACAAACTACCAGGTATAAAATAAATAAGTTACAAGGATATAGCATACAGCACAAGAAATATAGCCAATATTTTATAACAACTTTATATGGGGTATAATCTATAAAAATAGTGAATCACTACGTTATAGGGCTGTCTCTGGACTACCCATCCTGGACACTTCGTATGAATGGAGTCACACACTACGTGGTCTACGTTGACCAGTTTCTTGGACACACTGGGTAGCTCCCTGCTCCGGGCTTTACTATCCATCCTCTCAGCCTGGCCCCTTCATCCCCCAGGAATCTGCCTGGCTCAGTTCCCCGCCCCCTTCAGGTCCCTAGTTCAGGGTTCAGGGAAGACCTCCCTGGCCACTCTCTTTCTACCTGCAACCTCCACCCTAAAACACCAGTCTTCTCCCGTCTTTCCTTCTCTAGCGCAGCAGTCCCCAACCTTTTTGGCTCCAGGGGCGGGTTTCGTGGAAGACAGCTCTTCCGTGGACAGGGGGTGTGGGGGGGTGATGGTTCAGGCGTGATGCGAGCGATGGGGGGCAGCTGATGAAGCTTCCCCACTGGCTCGGTGCTCACCTCTTGCTGGGCAGCCCGGCTCCTGACAGGGGGTTGGGGGACCCCTGCTCTACAGCACGACTGCCATACTGCATATTCGACTTAGTTATCCTGTATGTCCTCATAAAGGTAGCGTTTTGTCTGTTCACACACTGCTGTACCATCAGCACCTACGAGAGTGCCTGGCAACACACGAGGGACTCATAAAATGTGTTGAGTGGATGTATGATCTGTGTCAAATGTTACCGAGAGATCAACACAACATAGCTAACGTTTTGCTGAGTGCTTGCTGTGGATCAGGTATTGTGCTCTTTCTAGAACTCTGGCTGTGAAGGAGAGAACCAGGGTGAGTCTCCTCACCTCCCATTCTTCAGCTTACTCTGTTACAGTGTCTAGCCCTCCCCTCCATCAAATCCGCTGTGGCCAAGATCACTAGTGGACCTCCATATCAAATGCAGTAGACAGTTGTCAGTAGAGTCTGGAATCAGACTAGAATTCGGGCTCTGCCACCACGAGCTACACGGTCTTAGCGAGACTTTTTAAAAATTTAATTTAAAAACATTTACAATGGGCTTCCCTGGTAGCACCATGGTTAAGAATCCACCTGCCAAAGCAGGGGACACGGGTTCGAGCCCTGGTCCGGGAAGATCCCACATGCCGCGGAGCAACTAAGCCCGTGCGCCACAACTACTGAGCCTGTGCCCTAGAGCCCGCAAGCCACAACTACTGAAGCTCGTGTGCCACAACTACTGAAGCCCACATGCCTAGAGCCCGTGCTCCACAACAAGAGAAGCCATCACAATGAGAAGCCTGCGCACCGCAACAAAGAGTAGCCCCCGCTCGCCGCAACTAGAGAAAGCCCACGCGCAGCAGCGAAGACCCAACACAGCCAAAAACAAATAAATAAATTTCTTTAAAAAATAGAAAATCACCTCAAAAACATATACAATGGTTTGTTTTCTTAAGCTGACATTATATAACTTATAAAAAGCAAAAGACTCACACGAAATTAATTTTTAAAAACGATGAGCGCTGAGCATTTCCTTGTGGACAACTGACTGGCTTTGCATACACACCTGAAGGCAGGGAAGGGCTGGGTTGAGGGAAGGCATTTTTCTTTTCTTTCTTTTTTTTTAAATGGGCAAGAAATGAGCTGGTTTTAATGCTGATGAGCAGGAACCAGTTAAAAGAAAAAAAGGTGACAGATGGGTACCCAGTAGACACCTGAGGAGGGTGGCTTTGGGAAAGGCCACCTCCTCCACTGTGGTAACAGGCAAGGCACAGCGATGGATGCAGACACAAGCAAATGGGGAGCTGGAGCAGTTCCCTTCCTGGGTTCTGGTTTCTGGAAGTGGGGAGGGAGGTTATCTGCTCAGGGAGGTGCATAAAAAGGGGGAGGGGACAGAGGCCTGAGGAAAGTGGGCAAAGTGTGAAAGCCACTGTGGAAAGCGGAAGAGCAAGCTCACTTCAGAAACACGGCGGGATTGTTTCCAGTGGTGTCCAGGGCCGAGGCGACCTCTGGATGGGTATAAACCTTCCCGGGCAGGTCAGAGCACAGCTCTGGAGGTGAGTCAGAACACACATGACTTAGACTGGAAGCGGCGACAATAAAAGAGGGTTGGTGTTGTGTTTCTCGATGCCCCTGGACACGGAGTCTAAGTGGAGTTTTACACACCTAGGGAGACCTCCAATTCTCTAGGGTGGTCGTCACTGCCCTCGTGTCACAGAGTCAATCGTGCAGATGCTTACAATAGCACCTAGGCAGGCTGAACAATCAACTGGAAAAACTCAGGCAAGGACCACAAAACACTGTGTCTTTCAGAGCAGCTTTTTCTGACATTTATCACCAACGGTCACAGGCAGACTTCAAGTCAACGTCAGCCTTGCTCAAGAGGGTCTGTCAGGTATTACAGGATGTTTTCCATACATGTGCTGAGGAGACATTTTCATTTGACTTCAGTGATGGTTTCTCAGCATATCCTATTCTTGGCTGACAGAGAGGCCCTGACCAAAGAACTTATCTCAGCACTCATCTGGAGAGGAAAAAAGCGTATTTCAGAGCCCCCTTAGTGGGAAGACAAAAGTAAATGCAGTCTGTCCCCAAATTAGCCTATTGCAAACTAAAACTATTCGCGTGTATACCTAAAGAAATACATGCTGGGACTAGTGAATTTTTCAGAAAAGTTTTCATTTATTTTTCTACCTCCAAAGCTCATGTTAGTTCCATTATACTTAGATTCTAAGGAGCTTAAACTCCTACAGTTATAATCCACTATTCTGCATGTTGATTACAGTTATTTTAAATAGATTTAAAGCACATATCCTTAAAC